TAAAATGTGGATGAAAATAGCACCTGCCTTCCAGGGTTGTCATGAAGATCAAATGAGATAACATATGTTAAGTGCTTAGAAACCTCTAAAGCACTGTTTAAATGTGACCTATTACTCTTATAGTGGATAGAGAGCTAGCCTTGGACCCTGGATCTATGATCTGGGCAAGTCAACCAAATTCTTAATGATCCCAGCAACTCAGTAAAAGTATAAGTTACAGAGGAGTTTCCAACCTCTGTGGATAGAAGGAGTTTCCTCACCCTAGAATTTTCTATACCAAGGAAGTTACAGGTCTGAGCTCTATCCCTAGTATCTTGACAATCTGAAAGCCACCTGGGTAGCAAGATGGGATGCATAAAAGGCTGGGCCTGGAATCAGGAAGACCTGAGTTCAAATCCAACTTCAGAGACTTGATAGCTGTGTGACCCTGGGCAAGTCATTTTAAGCTCTGTCTGCCTCAGTTTCCTCATCTATAAAATGAGGATAATAATAGAACCTACCTCTGAGTGTTGTGGTGAGCATCAAATGAGATAAAACAAAGGACTTTGCAAATCTCAAAGCGCCATATAAATGTAAGCTATTTATTATTATTATTATTATTATCAGTTATATATGCAGAATTTATTTTTTATTTATTTATTTATAGGTTGTAAGATGGAGGGAAAGGGACCTCTAAGGAAGGGATGATTGAATGAAAATAGTGTTTTAGGCAGAATCATCTGCAAGGAAATCTACCAAGGTAAACCAATAGTAAATGTGAATAAAGGTTATATTTGGAAATGAGCAAAGTTTTCTCTTTTTATCCAAATATGTCTAAAGTTTCCATTACTCTCTAAGGCACCAGGAAAACACAAAGTTATGAGCATTCTCTAACAGTGGCTGGAGTTACAATTCTAAGCTCTCACATAAAATCTTGAAATATGAAGAGACGTCAGAGAGATCATTCCAACCTCACATAGACCTGAGCCCTCTCTACAGCATCCCCAATAAGTGGTCATCCAGCGTTTGCTTAACAATGAACAGTGATGGAGAATCTGTCATTTGCTGAGGAAGCCAATTCTACTTTGGGACAGCTCTGATCTTAACTTTTTCCTTTCATGAAACCTAAACCCAGGCCTGTCTTCTGAGGCCAAGCATAGGTCTAGTGTTTCTTCCACATACTGTTGTCATTCAGTCATTTTTCCGCATGTCCAATTCTTCATGACTTCTTTTTGGCATTTTCTTGGCAAAGATAGTGGAATGGTTTGCCATTTCCTTCTCCAGCTCATTTTATAGATGAGGAAACTAAGGCAAACATGGTTCAGCGGCTTGCTCAGGGTCACACAGTTAGTAAATGTCTGAAGTCAAATTTGAACTCAGATCATCCTGACTCTAGGCCTGGTGCTTTATCCACTCTGCCACCTAGTTGCCTAACTGGTATATTAATAAGTGCTTGTTACTTTCACTTCTATCTCAAAACAAATAAAATTTACAACTCATGTTGAGTATAATTTCCAGCCTTAACTATGTTTTAAAAAGTGATATTAAAACATGCGCTATTTTCCACTACCCTCCATGAATATTACATTCTAGTCAATTACCTGTTTTGCCTATGCTTAGTTCTGGTTCAGTTATGGTTAGTAGCCTAGTGAGATAGAAGTGATCAGAAAACCAAGTCAAATTAATGCAGAACTAGAAAGAATAGCTATGTATCTTCAAAACTTGCCTCGTTTGCCTAAACTTCTCTGATTCTCTCTGTGTTACAGAAGGATAATCTTAATCCAAATCCAGTATCCTTCCCAAACCAAACTCACCTATTATTCCTTTTTCCAGTTTTCTTCAGGAAGAAAGCCTGTCTTGGTTCACTACAAACATAACTTTCAAGACAAAAACCCTATGTTCACTTAGAACCATATCTCCAAAAGCAAATAGAAGTGAAATGGACTGACCCGCAAAAGTCCTGAAGCACTTCCTCTTCTCTCTCTTACCTGAGCTTGGTAACCCTGAAGTCAGGGTCAAGATCTAAACACTATAGTTAAAGCTCCGGGTGCACAACTGATGAGGATTCATTTCATCACCTAACCTTAATGCTCAGTGTCTGACGGGGTCTGAAGGGAACTGAAGCAGTGGAAAGAGGGGGAGATGCAGAAGAGGGAAAAATGACTTAGAAACATCCAAGATCTGTTCCAGGCATGACTAAAGAGTGAATTTAAGAAGATATTACGGTTGTCTTTTCCAAGAGGAGATAAGATATCTATCTCCTCTTTCAGTATGATACAGTATGTAAAGAATTACAGCAAATGACAGATTCTCCATCACTGTTCATTGTTAAGCAAACGCTGGATGACCACTTATTGGGGATGCTGTAGAGAGGGCTCAGGTCTATGTGAGGTTGGAATGATCTCTCTGACGTCTCTTCATATTTCAAGATTTTATGTGAGAGCTTAGAATTGTAACTCCAGCCACTGTTAGAGAATGCTCATAACTTTGTGTTTTCCTGGTGCCTTAGAGAGTAATGGAAACTTTAGACATATTTGGATAAAAAGAGAAAACTTTGCTCATTTCCAAATATAACCTTTATTCACATTTACTATTGGTTTACCTTGGTAGATTTCCTTGCAGATGATTCTGCCTAAAACACTATTTTCATTCAATCATCCCTTCCTTAGAGGTCCCTTTCCCTCCATCTTACAACCTATAAATAAATTGATTCCTGTTATCTGTCATCCCAGATTTTTGAAACCCTCCATGGTCTAGCCCCATTCTACCTTTTTATTATTATTTCTATTATTGACTATCATGTACCCTTGCTTTAGGCAGGTAACTCTCCCCATTGTCACACCAATATGTCCAGTGTCCCATTAATACTCATCCTCTGTCTCTGCCTAGGGAAAACTTCATGTTATATCCTTCAAGATCCCCCTCCAGTCTCACCTCTTCCATAAAGACCATTTTATAAACTTTATTGATTTCCTTTGTTCTTCTTTTATAATCCATCTGGAACTAGATTATATGATCTCACATTTAATTACATTCTGTCTTCTGTGATTATTCATTGCTGTTACATATAAAATGTGTTCTATTTTTCCCAACTAGGTCTTAACCCCTTGAGGTCAGGGACCACACTTTAGATTTCTCTAGTTCCCAAAACATCTAGAAGAGCATTGAAATGGGGGAATTATTCTTTGGACCATAGATTTAGAGCTGGAAGGGACCTTAGATGTAACTAGTTTGGTCCCCTAGCTTTGTAGATAAGGAAACTGAGGTAACAGAGAGGTTTTATCTTGGCCAAGGTCATTTAGGTAGTAAACAGCAGAGTTGGTATTTGAACCTAAGTCCTTTGACTCCAAATCTATCATGGTTTCTCTTTATCAAATGGCAGAATGATTGATTGACCCTTTGGCTTTGTACATTACTCTGGAAGGAGTATATTGTGACATATAAAAAGTTCAAGAGACAGTTTCTGGGTAATTAATCATTTTAATAATTATGCTAGCAAGTAATTAATAAAAAGGATGGTCATTTGACCATCTCTTCTAAACCAAAGACCCTTCATGAACCCACTTAAGCCCTTGGTGTTCTTGAGAATGGAAATCAACTCTGATTGGTTAACAAGTAATGAGAGAATTAATATTATAATAAGAGGTGGGCTTATTCTAATAAGAGTCTGTGGGATGGGACTCTGATCACTTGGTCTTGGACAAAGAGACTTATCTATACCTATACCATCCTGTCCACTGACCTATCTGACTAAAACACAATGAGCTGGAATCCACCAATTCACCTAAATTGGAATTTCTTTACCTTTTGATCAGATATAAATTTTCTTAGTTTTGCCCAAGATTCCATCTCATTATCAGCCCTGCACTTTAGAGGCTGGCTGGATAACCTACAGGGGCTGATTTCTGAATGAGGAAATAGGAAGGGGAAAAACTTTAGTCTGAATTCAATAATTAGTTATTAAGATGAAAGAAATAATCATTTCTCTCATTATAAATTGACTTTAACAAGCATCCATAAATGCAAGGTACTGAGCAAGGTGCTGGGGATACAAACAGAAAGAAAGACTCACTCTCCTCCAGGAGCTTATGTTCTACCAGGAGGACACAACATAGACATTCAAGATAATGTGAAAAGAGAGAGTTAAAAACTCAGGGAGATCAAGGTAGGCTTCCCAGAGAAGGTAGCACCTAAGCTAAGTTTTAAAGGGAGATTGAGCTTCTTCCTTCAAGGTAACTATGTAAACTCTTGACCTCGAGGCTCCAGTTGAACCTGAATTGTTTTTGTGTGTATGGTTTGTCCCTTGTTCTCAAAGAAGACCATGACATCCAGAAGGTGATGCCATGACTTAAAAATGAATGGGATTTAAGTGAGGGAGGGCTGTGCAAAGTCACCAGCCTTACTTTCTCCTCCAGAGCCATCTGGGTCCAGTGGCCAGATATAGATCAGGAAGGCTGGAGATGGCCCCCTGAACCTAAATAGGGAGTTCAGAAAAGGTTGTTTTCTCTTTCCTTTGGTGAGATGAAGCTCAAACATGCTGTGGTTGAAAGTGACAGTGACTGGTACAGAGGAAGAACAAGATCCCATTCTCCTGATTCACAGACCAGTGTGTCTTCTACAATTCCATTACGCTTATTGTTATTGACTCAGTTTTTTAATTTGTTCTGCTCATTTCTAGTGGTTATTTACAAAATTTCAAATCATTCTACACTGGCTATTACTGCAGCTCAATTTTTTGAAATTCAATTTTATTTTGTTTTCATGTGTATATTTTCTTTAAGTTCCCTTCTCCTACCCCTTTGGGAAAGCAAGAAAAAACAATCCCATTGCAAATAGGTATTATTATTGAATCTTCTAAAAGAAAAAGCTATGAGGACAGGAAATACCATCCCACTCCTCCAAGGGCCATCTCAGAAAATTGGTAGTAAAGTATTATTGGGCATTTGGGCCATAATGAATGGAGACCTGAATGTGCGTTCAGATCAGAAGACATTTCCTGACCTTCTGCTTGTTCTCCACAGACTCCCCTGCCAACTCTAGGGATAGCACTAAAATTTCATAACTACACAATAACCAAGAAGAATGTAAAAGGCTGCGATCATGGATGGTGGGAAATCAATGAGCACATGTAAGTGATTTTCATACATTAACAACAACAATAATTCTTTTTTTTTTTTTGGGCAATTGGGGTTAAGTGACTTGCCCAGGGTCACACAGCTAGTAAGTGTCTGAGGCGGGATTTAAACTCAGGTCCTCCTGACTTCAGGGTCGGTGCCACCTAGCTGCTCCCTACAACAACAATAATAAGTTAAATGAATTAGCATATAAAGTGCTTTGCAAAGCTAGTGCTATATAAAAGATAGCTATTAGTTAACATTGATAAAGTGCTTTAAGTTTTACAAAACTCTTTACACATATGATCTCTTTGATATATGAATGACTACTGATGGAGAGCAGCCATCTAGTAGCGTTCTCCATACCACTGGGCTAGGATATGTAGGTTGGGACTATTTCAAACGGACAAGGGAAATCCAGATTGTCTTGGCAGCCTGAGCCGCACTAAGTAGTCCCTAGATCCCATATTTTGAATTGTACTTTAGTTTCTTTTTTCTATCAAAAAAGACATTTACTTATTTCTCATGACCTAGTTCTCTCTTTCCTCTCACCTCAGCTACACACATAGATGGCATGTATGTCTTGATCTTGTCATGATCCATAAGTGTTCTGCTTGCACGATAATGAACTCTAACATTCCTTCATTTGATCACAGTTATTCTACGTCTCCTTCTGCCTGCGGATTTATCAAGCCTACTTTCTCACTTATCTTCAATCTTTCCTTGTCTAGTGGATGTTTCCCTACTGCCTATGTCCCCTTCAGCTTCAAAAACTGTTCACTAAAGGGGCAGCTAGGTGATGCAGTGGATAGAGCACTGGCCCTGAAATCAGGAGGACCTGAGTTCAAATCCGGCTTCAGACCAAACACTTGACACTTACTAGCTATGTGACCCTGGACATGTCACTTGACCCCAATTGCCTAAAAATTAAAAAATGAAATACAAAAAAAAAAACCTCTTCACTGGATCCATCTATCCCCCTAGCTATTGCTCTCATTTATGGATAAAATCCTTGAGGTCATTTACAATCACTTTGATACTACTACTTTGATACTCTCTTTTCCTAGATCTCTTCTCTCTAGGTTTTCCAGATACTGGTCGCCCCAGGTTCTCCTCTTACCTGCCTGATCACTCCTTCTCAGTCTACTTTGCTGGATCTTCATCCAGGTTAAGCTGTTAATTATGGATGTTCTTCAAAGCTCTGTCCTGGGTCCTCTTCTCTTCTCTCCATGTTGTTTCATTTAGTGACCTCATTGGCCCTCATGGATTCAACTATGAACTTTAGGCAGATTATTCTCAGATCTCTTTGTCTAGCCCTACTCTCTCTCCTGGCCTTTAGTCTCACGTCCCTAACTTCCTATTGGACATCTCAAATTGGATAACACATAGATTCAACCTACCCAAAACTGAACTCATTTTTTGTTGTTGTTGTGCAGTTTATCAGTCCTATACTGAATCTTCACGACCCCATGGACCAATTGTCAATGGGGTTTTCCTGGCAAAAATACTGGAGTGGTTTGCCATTTCTTTCTCCAGTGTATTAAGGCAACTCTGCTTCAGTAAATTCAATCAACACTCAAATCAAGACATCATCCAGTGATGTCACTGGTCCTCTTCAAAAATGATGGACAAGGGATAGCTAGGAGGTGCAGTGGATAGAGCACTGGTTCAGGTCAGGTCAAGAGGATCTTAACTAGGATTGCCTCCCTCCCCTCAAAAAAGAAGAAAAAGAAAACTAAAGTAAAGGAAAAACAACAACAAAGCAAAACAGAGGCTAAGTAACTTGCCTAGGATCCCACAGCTAGTAAGTGTCTGAGGCTAGATTTGAACTCAGGTCTTCCTGATTCCAAGCCCAGTGCTCTGTCCACTGAACCACCAACTTACCTCGGACTAGCACATAGCAGGCACTTAATAAATGCTTGTTGACCTGACTTAGTTGCATAAGGGCACACAAGTACTTTCCTTGAAAAAACAGATAAAGAAATAGGTGCAGACCTTTCTTTGGGAAGGTAATATAACTTTAGTCCAAGTTTAAGCTTTGAAGTTAAAACAATGGATTATTATTTGTCATAATGACATTTTGCTGAGGAGATCTTCACTTTCTTCACTTCATGTTCTGATCTTCAGGGATGATGCTCCTCACTACTGAATTCAGGCAAAGTTATTCTTGAAGATTTCATTAGAGGCTATCACAGCATTATTGGCAAAGCAGCAGGGTACAATGGAAAGAAGGTACTAGGTTCAAATTTTTCCACTTGGGTGACCGTGGACAAGTCACCAGACCTTTACAGACCTCAGTCACCTCCTGTAAAATGAAGCTGTTGGACTAAATTATTTCTTTGGCCCTTTCCATTTATGATACCACATCCTCTGTGATCCTGTGATGAACCAACACAATTCAGTGGAAAGACCCCTAGCTCTGAGGCCAGGTTGTCATTCCGTTACTTTTCAGTCACATCTGACTCTTGACCCCATTTCTTAGCAAAGAGACTGATGTCGTTTGCCATTTCCTTCTCCAGATCATTTTACAGATGAGGAAACTGAGGCAAACAGGGTTAAGTGTCTTGTCCAGGGTCACACAGGTAGTATCTCAGGCCAGATTTGAACTCTCGCAGACGAGTCTTCCAGCACTCTATCCGCTTCATCACCTCGCTGCCCCCTCTCTTCCAGAGACCTTGGTTAAAGATCTCACCTCTGAGATTTACTCCCGGTGTGATAGTAAGCCAGTCACTTAACCTTCACAGACTTCAGTTTCCTCACCTATAAAACGAAGGACTGGGACGAGACTAGACAACTCTGGATCTCGGATCAGAACTGCTCGGATAAATCTCTGCTGGATGGAGAATATCACCTAGGTTACACCTTCTGGCATTAGCGATACTTTGAGGCTTCTTTGTAAAATTCAGTTGAACAACTGTTTATTAATTGCCTGTTACCTTCAAGGAGCTGACCAGGAACTGGAGATAGAAAATAAGAGACAAAATAGCCTTCCCCTTAAGAGGCTCAAAATCTACCTAAAAACAAAGGCTTTAATAGCTGTGGGGGTTGGGGGGAAGAACCTTTTCGTTAAGTGGTGTTTTCCAAGCAGTGATTTTTTTTTTTGTTACCTGCATGTTATTTATTTATTTTTAAAGTTCAGAACATATTTGTTTGCTAATTGCACAAAGGCCTATCTCAGTGGTCAGTGGAGTAGTCAGCTGTCTATTGAATTGCAGGTCTTTGGCCCATAGTTTTTATCTCTACAGGAGCCTGAAATTCCTTTCTTCCTGTGACAGCTCTGGAAAAGTTGCTGGTTCAGACTGCTTTCTGAGTTAAAAAACATCTTTCGAAATGCAAATAGACTTGGGAAGGCTTGGTCATTCATACCTTAGAGGGAATTCTTTTAAGTAGAGCCTTTCATCCTCAGTGTAGAGTGAAGCTGCCTTGAATACAAGTGTTGACTGGAGAAGGGAGAGGGGTTTTAGAAGGTTTGTTGTTGTAAGGATTGGGCAGGCCCTGAACGAATGCGCTGGAGTAGAGGGCTTGGGATAGCCACGTCCTCCCATAAGGAGCACTTGGAGTCATTTAAAAAAAGTAGAGGCCTGGAGATATGTGAGAGAAGAGCTCAGAAAGAGAGAGACATCACAAGAAAGACAAACTTTACCTCCTTTGAAATTTTGCCCAGGACTTGTCTTGAATTACAAGAAATCATTATTTCTTCCCTCCGCCTCCCAACCTCTCCCCTCCAAGCTTCTGTATTAATAGGGCACCGCCATCTTCCCAGTCAGTCAGACTCACAACATAGAGGTCATCTTCAACTCCTCACTCTTCTTCATCTTCCATGGCCAATCTGTTTCTGAGCCCTATCAATTTTACCTCCCTACCAACACCCCTACAGGCCCCCTTGTCTCCCCTGATACTGCCACCGCCTTCAAGCACTCTCTCATCATTTCCCAAGTGGACTATGGCAGTGTGCTGGTTAGTCTCCCTGCCAAAAGCCTCCTCACTGCTCCATCCTCCTCTCAGCTGTCAAAAGCAGGTCTGACCGTGTTGCCCCGCCTCTTCTTCCATAATAAACTTCAGTAGCTCCCTATCACCTCTAGGAGCAAATATACAAGATTTTCAAAGCTCTTCATAACTTGCTTGCTGCCACATTTCCAGTCTTCTTGCACCTTATATCAAACTCCCCTCCCTCTTTTTTGTTGTTCAGTTGTCCAGTCACGTCTGACTCCTGGTGACCACATTTGGGGTTTTCTTAGCAAAGATACTGGAATGGTTTGCCATTTCCTTCCTACATATGAGAAAACTGGGTCAAACAGGGTTAAATACTTGCCCAGGGTCACACATCTAGTAAATGTCTGAGGTCAGATTTGAACTCAGGTCTTCCTGACTTCTGGCCCAGCATTCTATCCATTGCACCATCTAGCTGTCTGTCCCTTCTTACCCCCTCCCCCGACTCCATTTTCACTAGCTATTCCCCCATACATGGAATGCTCTTCCTTCTCATCTCTTCTTCCTGGCTTTCTTCAAGTCCCAACTGAAATCCCACCTCCTACAGGAAGCCTTTCCTGATACCTCTTAATTCTAGTGCCTTTCCTCTATTGATTATTTCCTGTTTATCTTACATAGAGCTTGTTTGCACATATTTATTTTCAGGGTGTTTCTACCATTAGATTGTGAGTTCCCTTAAAGCAGGGACTGTTTTTACCTTTCTTTGTATCTCCAGCTCTTAGCACAGTACCTGGCACACAGTAGGCACTTTAATGTTTATTGGCTGACTGAAAGTGAGTGAGGATTCAGTTTAAGGTTACACCCCATGAATGTGTCTGTGCTGTATCACGTGGATGAATTTCATGAACAGACTTGATTAGAAAGAGCAGAGATATCACCTGAAAGACAGACTTTGGAGTCTGCAAGTCCTGGGTTCAACACCTGCCTCTGCCATGTATTGGTTATCACTTAACCTTTCAGATCTCTGCACAGCTCTCTAAGAATAATGTGGTGCCTTGAATTGACAGTTTCTCCATGTGACAGTTCTTCACACCAATGAAATCATAGGTCCAGTCCCTATACTACAAAGGAAAAAAACAGAGTCATGGGGAAATTAAATCAATCCTGGGTACTAAAATATTAAACATTAATATATTCATCAATATCAAATATATCAATTTTATTATTAATTAATAGTATTTAATATTAAATTAAAATGAAATATTAAATATAAATCAAAATATTAAAAAACTAACTCAGAGCTGGAAGGTACCTTAGAGATCATTTGTCCAGCCACATCATTAAAAAAATCTGGAAATTCAGGCCCAGAGAAATAACTTGCCCCCATTCACATAGGTATGAGATTTGAATCTATGTTCTCTAATTCCAAATCCAGTGTTCTTTTCACTATGCTATTCAGAAGGAAAAAAAGAGCCTCATTTACAGCAGGAGGAATATGAAGGATAGCAGTGGCCAAAATGTTACACCAAAGCCTGACCCATGAAACCCAGTACATTTCCAAACATTTAATCAATCCACAAGTATTTCTATATATCCGGTACTGTGCTAAATTCTGGTGAAATAACAACAAAAACTTTCAATCTCCTTGGGCAGTACTAATCAACTGAGAAGGAAAGTAGACCCTTAAGTGTTTGTGGACTGACTCAAAGTGAGTGAGGATTCAATTTTAAATTACATCCTAATTTATCTGAACTCCATCATTTGAGTGAATTCAATGCACATACTCGTCTGACCTACTGAATAAAACAGTCCCAGCCCTCAAGAAGCCCACAGTCTATCAGGGAGACAACTCATACATAAACAAGCATATGCAAAATAAATATGTGTAGGAGGTGGGGAAGAACTCCAACAGCTGGGGAGGAGCCAGAAAGGCTTTGTGTAGAAGGTGATCCTTGAGCAGAATTTTGGAAGAAAGGATTCTATGAAGGGGTGTTGAGGGAGGGAATTCATTCCTGGGAAGGGGGAAGCCAGGGCAAACAGTGAGAGATGAGATGTGATCTAATCTGTGAGGAACAGCAAGAAAGCAAGTTTGTTTGGACCTTGGAACGTGGGAAAGAGAGAAACGCATAATCAGATTGGAAAAGTAGGTTGGGGCTGGGCTGTGAAGGGCTTTGAAAGCCAAACAAAGATCTTCAGATATGATCCTACAGGCTATAGGGGAGTTAGGAAAATCAATTTGGAGATTGTGGGGAAGATGGATTGGAGAGGGAAGAAGAACTGAACAGGGGACCAGTTGGGAGGCCACTGCAATAGTCCAGGAGAGGCTAAACCCAGTGCCCTAGAAACTGACCTCTCCTTTGTCTTTCCCCTCCGTCACTCTTTTCTCCTCAGGTACTGTGGTTCTTACATCGATCACCAGACAATTTTCCGAATAGCCAGCTCTGTAGTTCACATTCAACTTCAGTGCAGCTCAAGACTTTCAGACAAGCCGCTTTTGGTGGAATATGGTAGTTACAACATCAGCCGACGTAAGAATGAGATGTTTTCCTCCACCCTTCATAGATCCAGTTGCAATCAATCTATGGATGTCTTTTCATCCCATGTGATTCTCATCCATCCTTCACAAAAAAATATATCCATTGTGCTAGAGGTCACTCCCCGGACCTTTTTTATAAACATTTTTGTGGTTACCAGTGCAGCAATCCGGCTATCCTGTCATCTTTCACTCTCACCAGCTTAATGACATTTTTTGATATTTCTTGCATACAAATTATTGTCATTAAGGTGCTGCAACCCACAAGATGGCTTTCTGTTGCCCTTCGGGCCTCTTGCAAATCTGATCCTTCTGAGATGGTGGTTATCCATGATTCCATGCAGTATGCTGAAAGGGATAGGGGGAAAAAAACTGGACCTGTGATTAATTTAGCATAGGGAGCTATGTCAGATAGGAAAACTCCCTCTATCAATGCAGGCCTGTACTATTCAGGCAAGTTAAGAGTCCTAGAGATTTGCTCAAAACAGCAATATCAAACTCAAGTAGAAATAGGCCACTCATTCCTGGGTAAGGATCCCAACAGATGGCATACTGACTTAGTCTTTTAAAAGTAGTATTATGTTTTGGTTTTATTTTGTTTATTATTTTTGAATTTGAATTTTTATTTATTTGATTATTTTTGTTTATTTTTATTTTGTTCTTGTTAAGTCATTCAGTCGACTCTACCTGACCCCTTGGACTTTGTCCATGGGGTTTTCTTGGCAAAGATACTAGAGTGGTTTGCCATTTCCTTCTCCAGTGTGTCCTCATTTTATAGATGAGGAAACTGAGGAAAAGAGAGTTAAGCTACTTGCACAGGGTCACATAGCTAGTGGGAGTCTGTGTCTGGATTTGATTTCAGATCTTCCTCTCCAGGCCAGGCCCTCTATCCACTTCATCATCTAATTGCTCTGGTATTTTTTTTTTCTTGGCTAAGCAATGGGGTTAAGTGACTTGCCCAGGGTCACATAGCTAGTAAGTGTCAAATGTCTGAGGTCACATTTGAACTCAGGTCCTCCTTACTCCAGGGCCAGTGCTCTATCCACTGCGCCACCTAGAAGCCCCTGCTCTGGTATTTTTAAAATTTATTTTGTTAACCATTTCTCAATTACATTATAATCTGGCTCTGGCATGGGCAGCTTGGCAGGCTGAGTGTTTGACTCCTCTGCCCAGTGAAAAGGTTAAAGACTTGCCCAGGGTCATACAGCCAGCATGTATCAAAGGCTTCAAGGCCCTCTCTCTATCCACCAGGATACGTTGCCTCAAACCTATTTTTAAAACCTCAATAACATAATCAAAGGGAGTTGCTACTGCAATGGCTAGCATGAATTTTAATGCAAGTTGCATAGTTACCATTTTGTTTTTTAAAGTAGTTTTTTAAAAATTATTGAGTTTTTGTTGTTTATTTATTATCCTTACATCATAAGTGCCCCACGCTGGTGGTGGTGTTTTACAGTCAATTAATAACTTCTCATGTTATTCTTAATAGGTAGGATAATATTATCACCCTGAAAATTCCTCAGCCTTGAAGTCTGCTGCTCGCTCCATGCCTGTAATGCATTCCCTTCTTATCTCTGCTTGTTGAAATACTGTTCTTCCTTGAGGCCCAGCCCAGGCTATTAACCCACTATGAAAGCATTCCTGTAAAATAGGAGCTTCTCATAAACAGAGACGGTTTTGACAGTTTTGTTTTTGTATCCAGGGACCAGCACAGTTCCTCAAACATAGTAGGTACTGAATAGATTCTTTTTTTCCCCATAATATTTTCAGTATATTCTTAAAGTTCAGCATACTCTTAAAGGCAATCAGGAAGAAAACTGCAAATGGATTTTAGAAAGACTTACCAAAAAAATTGCTTGCTTTCTCTACAACCACCCTAGCACACTCACACAACACATTCGAGCCTCTGAAGTATTGATAGATTTTTTTTTTTTTTGGAGGCAGACAGGGTTAAGTGACTTGCCCAGGGTCACACAGCTGGTAAGTATCTGAGGCCAGATTTGAACTCAGGTCCTTTTGACTTCAGGGCCAGTATTTGAGATGTGGTATTGAATAGAAGTGAAACCTCAAATTGCTAATCCACTAAAATTTGTTTTTGAAGTCCTGACCTGGTGACGAGTTTTCTGTGTACAGTTAGACTGATTCATTTTGGCCTCGATTAACTATAGAGATCTGGGCAAAGAAAGATCAGATCGGTCCCTTTTGTCTTAAATTTGCTGGCACTTAAAACCCACAGAATAGATGTTGTTACAGGCAGACCCTCGGTGACTTACCTGTGTTCCAGGAAATCAGTGCAGTGGCAAGAAGTACAGAGAGTAATATTAACCTCAAACCTTAAGGAAAATTGTTGAAGCTGGAGAGAGAATTCAGTGCATGTGTGAGGCTGACGATCCCCAGTGTACAACCCTACAAGTATTCTGGCTAGGTGGAGAGAAGTCTCTGGACCCAGGTCAGACTTGTACTTCATCTGAAATACCATCAGCACTCCCCTATGCTGTCTCCCTGAAGCAGACCCTAGTTGGCAATTACTCCGGTTCCAACTCAGCTATAACTACTGATTGGATCTTAAACTAGCCATTCCTGGTGGATACATTCAAGATCCAGTAATCACTGTTAGGCACGACTCCATTGGCATACTTCTCCCCTTGCCTGGTCCATATTGGGTTGTCCTGATTGGCTGTCTCTTAGGTCCAATGGCCTTGAGGCTCTTGAAGCAAAGGAGGGAAGGGAATACAAGTTTGATGTCAAAGTCTTGGTTTCATGTTCCTGAACCACAGCCCAAAGCTCTTTACCCTGTTGTCTAACAATTGGGCTACTTGACACCTTGACCTGGCTTCCCAGATGTTCTTGCACCTACCTCGTCAGATAAGTATGGAGCAAGTGACTTGTTATCTTTTTTGTGATTAAGAAAGAACATTGAACCCAGAAGGAAGAAATGCAAAGAGAAATTCCATTTGAAATAACTGCAGATTGTCGATTCAGGAGTTTACCTGCCAAGACACACACACAAGGAGTATATGAATGCAATTACACTTTTCACACAGATAAAGACAAATCTAAATAACTAGAGAAATATTAATTGTTCATGGGCATGCCAAGCCAATATAATAAAAATAATAAGACTACCTAAATTAATTTACTTATTCAATGCCATCCAAATCAAATTACCAAATAATTATTTTTTAGAGCTAGAAAAAATAATAACAAATTCAACTGGAGGAACAAAAAGTCAAGAATAACAAGGGAATCAATGAAGAAACATGAAAGAAGATGGTTTAACAATGCCAGATTACTAAACTAGAAACTATACTACAAAGAGGTAATTGTCAAAATTATCTGGTAGTTGAGAGAAATAGAATGGTGGATCAGTGAAATAGATTAGGGCACACAATATATAGAAGTAAATGACCATAGTTATCTAATATTTGATAATCCCAAAGATCCAAGCTTTGAGGACAAAAACTCACTATTTTATGTAAACCACTGGCAAAACTGGAAAGCATTCTGGCAGAAACTAGACATAGACCAATATCTCACACCATATACCAAGAAGAGCTCAAAATGGCTACATAATTTAGACACAAAGGGTGATATCAGCAAATTAAAGGAGAATGGAAAAGTTTACCTGTCATATATATGAATAAGGGGAGAGTTTACAACCAAATAAGAAATAAAGGATCATGGGAGGCAAAATGGATAATTTTGATTACATTAAAATAAAAAAGTTTGCATAAATGAAACAAATACAGCCAAAATAAGAAGGAAAGCAGGAAACTGGAAAAAAAGTTACAGCAAATTTCTCAGGTAAAGGCCTCATTTCTCTACTATATAGGAAACTGAGTCAAATTTATCAAAATAAGAGCTATTTCCCAATTGATAAATGGTCAAAGGATATGAACAAGCAGTTTTCAGAAGAAGAAATCAAAGCTATGAATGGTCATATAAAAAATGCTCTGAATCAATTAGATTAGATTAGAGAAATGCAAATGGTAACCTCTGAAGAACCAACTCACACCTGTCAGATTGGTTAATATGACAGAAAAGGAATATGATAATCATTAGAGGGGATGCTGGAAAATTGGAACAATAATGCATTGTTGGTGGAGTTATGAACTGGTTCCAAATGTCCTGGAAAACAATTTGAAACTATGCCCAAAGGGCTATAAAACAGTGCATACCCTTTGACCTAGCAATACAGCTACTAGGTCTGTACCTCAAAGAGATCAAAGGAAAAAGGAAAAAGGACCTACATGTATAATAATATTTATGGCAATTCTTTTTATGGTGGCAAATAGTTAGAAACTAAGGGGAAGCATGTCAATTGGGGAATGGCTGAAGAAGTTGTGTTATATGATTGTGATGGAATACTATTGTACTATAAGAAATGATAAGAGGGATTGCTTCAGAAAAACCTGAGAAGATTTATATGAGCTGATGCAAACTGAAGTGAGTAGAATTAGGAGAACATTGTACACAGTAACAGCAATATTGTAATGAAAATCAATTGTGAAAGACCTGGCCATTCTGATCAAATACAATGATCCAAGACACTTCCAAAGGACTTATGATGGAAAATACTATCCACCTCTAGAAAGAAAACTGAAGAACTCAGTGCAGATTTAAACATATTTTCTTTCACTTTCTTTTTTTTTTTCTTGCTCCTCTCCATCCTCACCAACATGGTTAATATGGAAATATGTTTTGCATGACTTCATATGTATAATGGATATTATATTTCTTGCCTTCTCAATGAATGGAGGAGGGGCTGAAAGGAGAGAAAGAATTAGAAACTGAAAAAAAAATTTAAAACAAATGAAAAACATTGGATTTGGAGTCAGAAGACTTGAGCTTGTACTTTGGCTATGCCACTTTGTACTTGTGTGACCTTGGTTAGGTCACTTACCTCTTCTGGGTCTCCATTTCCTCATTTGTAAAAATGAGAGATTGGTCCTTAGAGGTTCATTCCAATCTAAATGTATAATTGTGGTGCAGTAGAATCAGTGATGAATTTGAAGTCAGAGGACCTGGGTTTAAATATTGGCTCTATTACTTAATAACTGTGTGACCTTTGGCAAGTTATTTTATCTCTCAGTCTCATTTTTATTTAAAAATGAGGGAGTTAAATGAGATAACTTGGAAGACCCCTTCCAGTTCTAACTCTATAATCCTATGAACTTCAATATGACAAATTTTTAAAAATCATAGATATTTGATATTAAAATTATCTCACCTATTTAGATATTGTCTGGAAACAGAAAGTTCCTTTAACAAGCTCCTTCTAAGCATTGGGGGGAAAGTGTTGAAATTGGAATGCTGAGCTTGGAATCCTGGGACCTGAGTTCAAATCCTAGCTCTGCCACTTAACAGCTGTGCAACCATGGGCAAGTCACCTAACCCCCCCCAGGCCTCAGTTTCCTCATCTGTAAAGTGAAGGTGTTGGTGTAGGTGACCTTTAAGTTTTCTTCCAGCTCTAGCTCTATGGATCCTAATAGTGTAGAAGCCAGCACTAATTCCTTTTGGTTCCTGAACACTAGAAGCTCATATTCACCACTAACAGAAAGAGGTAGTGAGCCAACAGATTTTCAGTTCCACTCCCTGGCATACCTATGCCATAAATACAGGTTTTTATTAAGAATAGGTTTCAGGGATATAGGTAAATGTTTAACAACTGACTCACCGGAGGGGAAAATGTATGTGTGACACACTTTTAGGTTTTATCTACATTATTATCAATATTTTCCATCACTTGCTTAACTCTAGACAATTAACAAAACAATAAATCCAACCCTGATTTGCAGTATTTGCCAATTTCCAAGGTATAAATACTTAATGCTGAAAATTTAACACAAGCCAGTACAAGCTGGCTCCAGTACACTCCTGGATAAGTCTATTTAGCACATTTGTCTGAGAGTTCACCTGATGTGTCTACTGTAGCCTTATACCTGTTTTCCTTGTACAAAAACAGAGAGGCCCCTCTACAATGCATTTGTTTGGTATGCTTGATTGTAAATTAAGGAGGTGACAGTTTGGATTAATGCAGAGAAATGACTACCTGTAGGAGTAGTGTAGTTCAAGGAGTCTTGGACTGGGAGTCAAGAAGCTAGGGTTCAAACGCCATCTCTGCTACCAAACAGCTGTGTGACATTGGTTGGGGTCACTTTATTTCTCTGGACTCCCAATCTCCCTATTTATAAAATGAGGGAATTGGACTAGATAATTAATATGATGACTTACAAGTCTATTGGACTAGATCAGGGGTCAAGAAAGGATATTCTCCCAAAAAATCCAGCCTAGGATGCAAAGAATGGTTTTTACATTTTAAAATAAGGTTTTATTATATTTAAAAACGTAAAAACCATCCTTTGCTCATAGGCAGCAACTGTGGGATTTGGCCGTCGGGCCATATAGTTTGCCAACCCCTGGGCTTCATAATTATATGTTCTAATCTCAACCCTGAGAGCCATGATTAGGATCAGATAGCTGAGTCATTAAAGTGGTGGCAGTGGGCAGTGTGTACTTAGAATCCTAGAAAGTGGCAGGGAGCTCAAATCATGCCCTTATAAGATGTAGAACTCAACATGACCACTACATGGTGCAGTGGATAGAGCATTGGGCTTGGAATCAGGAAGACTTGATTTCCTGAGTTCAAATCCCATCTCAGATGCTAGCTGTGTGACCCCAGGTAAGTAACTTAACCCTGCTTTCCTTTTCCTCATCTGTTAAAATGAGTTGGTGAAGGAAATGGCAAACCACTCCAGTATCTTTTCCAAGAGAACCACAAATGGGCTCACAAAGAGTCAAACACGACTGAAACAAATGAACAACAGCAGGACCTCAGAGGTCATTTTGTTCAACCTATTTTTATTTATTTTTACAGATGAGGAAACTGAAGCCCAGAAAGTTTAAGTAACTTAAGTAACCAAGGCCACACAGCTTTGCTAGTGGTAGGTAGAGTCAGTATTTCCCGTTATTCTTTATCGCCACATGACTCTGTAGTTGTTTAGTCATTTCAGTCACATCTGACTCTTTTTTAAAATTTTTATTTATTTTTATTTTTTCAGTGAGGCAATTGGGGTTAAGTGACTTGCCCAGAGTCTCACGGCTAGGAAGCATTATTTGTGTAAGGCTGGATTTGAACTCACGTCCTCCTGACTCCAGGGCTGTTCCTCTATGCACTGTGCCACCTAGCTGCCCCCGTATCTGACTTTCCATAATACCATTTGGGGTTTTCTTGGTGAAGATATTGGAGTGGTTTGCCTTTTCCTTCTTCAGCTCATTTTACAGATGAGAAATCTGAGGCAAATAGGGTTAAGTGACTTGCCCAGGGTCACACAGCTAGTAAGTGTCTGAAGACAAATTTGAACTCAAGCAGATGAGTCTTCTTGACTCTAGACCCAGCACTCTATCTGTGCCACCTACCCTAGCTGTCCCTAGGGTCTACATGGCTCTAGATGGAATATTATTACAAAATTCCTATCCATCAGTTTTCTTCCCCCTTCTTTCAACACTGCCTTTTTTGATTAATTTCTAAGGATAAGAATGTTACAATAAAATTTCTACCAGTGATGCTGGGAAGCAATTATGAATTTAAAAGAGATATGAACTTAAAATTCCTGTATCATAGACTTCTTATAGCCACAGCTTGCTATGGAAATAGTAATAATTAGCTTGGTACCACCTTTCGAGCATTTGACTTATGCCATCTTACACCACTTGGAATGTGCTTCACTTCTCTGCTTTCTTTTGTTTTATCTCTAGCTTGTCCAACAAATCACTTCAGATGTTCCACTGGCTTATGTGTTCCCCAGGCTCAGCGCTGTGATGGTAGCAATGACTGCTTTGATGAAAGTGATGAACTTTACTGTGGTTGGTATTTGAATTTTCAACCTGATTCTTGTCAACAAAAAGCTCCTTGAATACACCCTCTTGTATTTTTAACCTTAGACTATTATCTTTTAGCCACATTACATGGTGATACTCAAACTCAGTTTCTGACTTCCTGCCTAGTCCTCTTGGCCAATTGCTTTGGTCACTTTCTAACTCTGACTTCCTGCCTGCCTAACTCCCTGTTCAGCCCCTTGCGTATCAGTTTGGACCAGCTCTTCCCTTTGCCCCCTCCTCAGTATGGCCTCTCACTCCTGGGCTGTTCATGGTTACCGATGTATCTACCCTTATTTCCTCCCTGGCCTACCAGCCTCTCCAAGCCCCACAATTGGAGCTCAGTTTGATGATTTGTAAAAGCAAGAGGGCAGGGAAGGGCATTCTTTCACCAAAGAAAATGACCTAGGAAAACACACACAGATGTCAAGAGATTGGAAGACTGTGGGTAGAAGAGTTAGAGGGGGCTATATGCTCTCTGTTGTTACTCAGAAGCTGTAAAACATTTAACTCCACATATATTCTCAATGAGAAAAGACTTAATTTCATAACTGAAAGGTTGCCATTAGAACATAATTGAAAAAGACCACCAGAAGTGCCCCCTTTCTCAGAATAGTTTTATTTTTTGGTATTTTTGTTGTGGGCAACATTATGTTTATGGTTTAAGGAAGAAGTCTTGAGAAACTAATCCATAAATTAATGTTGGTTCCACCCTTTACCAGATGTCCTAGATGTTGAGTTTGCATAAAATTGCAATAGCTTGCTGTAATTATTTTCTTTCATTAACTCATAGTTGAGAGGCAGCAATGGCATGATGTTTACTGAACAGGACTCAGGCCTCAGAATCAGAAAGATCTGGGTTCAAGTGCAGCTGACACAAGTTGGCTATGTAATCCTAAACACATCACATAATCTCTCAGTGACTATAATTTTCAGAGAAGAGAATAATCTGCTTTTGTAGAGAAGGTATGTCCTATGGAAGTTCCCCATGCTGTGGAAATCAGAGATTTAGAACCCCTGCTCCACATTCCATAAAGCAGACCTGCACAACTTGGCAGCAGGTGGGGGCCAAAATTTAAGTAGGCTAAACTTCTTTGGGCTGAAGATAGGTTAGACTAGAGACAGATTGACAATGGTTGGTTGCCCTGGGTCACGTGACAAACTGGAGAGAGTGCATGGTAGCAACCCTACATTTTTCATGCCACCAGAAATCCTTTGGTGGGCCATGTGTGGTGTAGGCCTGCTATAAATGTTACTTGGAGTTAGGCCTCTTTGAATATAATACATACCCCTAGAAGAATTAAAACCATTTTATATGAATCAACATCCCAATACATAGATATACAATGTTGATCATTTTAATGAATTGGTATAACTTCCCACTACTGATCATTATCTGGTGATTGAGGCACGCATCTTCTTTTGCTTTATCGCTGTAATGTTTTACAGCAAAGTGATTAATTATATCATTATCACCTCTGCAGCTATTGCTAATTTTTCCATTCAGTAAGTGGGCATCTACCCACTTTTCTTGAGCTATTCCTCAGGAGTAAATCAGAAGCTGAATGAAATCTTTAAGGACTATAGGTACCACACTCAAAAGAGATCTGTTTTGATACTCAAAGCCTTCTCAACTCCCTCATTTGCCTCACCCCTGTGATTGAACAGCTAAAGGGTGAAGATATCGACTCTCCCAAAGGGCTCAGAACTTTCAAGGTAACTCTCTATCTTCCATTGGCAGCTCTGTCATTTTCTACTCCAGGGCCCACACTGGGTACCTCCTGATCCTGGAGATTGTCTTTTTTTTTTTTTTTTTTAATTTGTATCCTAAGCACTTAGCACAGCACCTGGCACATAATAGGTGCCTAATAAATGTTTACTGAATTGAATCTGTTAAGAGACGGGAATAGGTAAATATAACGACGGTGACATTCCAGGACACCAAAGATGACCCACCACTATGCACTGGATTAAAGGCCTAAAAGAATTAATTCAGTTAGCTTGGCCACTTGGTTCAAGGTAGACACTGTTTTGAATACAGAAAGCATTGTCTTTGTCCAAAGGAGCTTCATGGGAGTACTACTAGGATGGGAGTACTGAGGTAAATGTGTGCTCTAGCATCTATGAATGCAGAATGATTTTTTTTTAAATAAGAAAAAATACTTAAGAATGGACTCCTGTTGTTTAATTCCTCCCCTACAAACCATGTTTCTGCAGCTTGCCAGCCTTCATCTGGGTCGGGCCACATGGCACCAGGAGGGTATTGTTTTTGGAGCAGTAGGGTGAGGATTTTTTTAATTTCAGAAAGTTTGCAAGCCCAGTGTGCAGCTGCGGCCTTAAGCGTGGCATTTCTCATCACCAGAGTCTCAGCCTCACCCTTTGCTTTCTGCTTCTTGCTCTAGGCATGCTCAAGCCTGCTTGTAACATCAGTGCCTCCAAATCACAGGCCCCCCTGGTCTGTGATGGCTTTAGGGACTGCGAAGATGGCCGGGATGAACAGAACTGTATTCAGAGTAAGGAATTCTCCCTCTGCGTCTTTTTCTGCAGACTGCTCCCTAAATCTCTTTCTGGGGCGTGTGTGCCTGTTAAGTGCTTAATGCTATTTCTCCTTCTGCTTTCCTCGTAGCTCAGAGGTGTAGCAAAACTAAGGCCCTGAGGTCATTGGACTGACAAGACCCCTCCTTCTGCCAGTGGCAATGGCATAAGGCACTACTATATGCCGCACAACACCATGTGCCCTCTAAGGTTATGCAAATCTGGCCTCTTCAGAGCTAAATGAAATGCGGGTTTTCCAAGAACCTCGTTTTTATTGGTTACTTCTGACAAAAAGCAAATGATTTTAATGATTGCTTCTGACTGTCTTTTTTTTTTAGGGTCAGCCAAGTGGTACACTGTAGTAGATAGAGAGCTGGACTTAGAATCAGGAAGACCTAAATTTGAAACCTGCCACAAACATTCACCGGCTGTGTGATCCTGGGCAAATCACCTCTCTGAATCTCACTTTCCCCATCTGTGAAATGGGGATGATAATAGCACTACCACCTAGGTGGTTGAGCAAATACAATTACTGTAAAGTGCTTTGTACATCTTAAAGCACTATATAAGTGTGATATTATTACTTTTCCTCCCAGAGGAGAATATAGATTCAAGTCTTTGATGCCCAATTGCTTTTTGTCATACACTGATTGGAGAAGTCACCAAACTGAGCATCATCTATTTCCCACAGGCCTCCTCTAATTGCACCATTGTCTTTAAATGAGGCCTGAGAGCTGATCCTGGTGAGATCATTTCATTTCCACTATCCTTTTTTTTTTTTTTTCCCTGCAGCAGTAAACACAACATTCAGCAAAAGTACACTGAGTAATGATGTTTGTGATGATTCATGTTTATCATTCCCTGGTGAGGTAACAACAGAATAATCTCCTTTGGTTTTCTTTTAGGAATTCCATGCAACAACCAAACTTTTAAGTGTGGCAATGATGTTTGCTTTAGAAAACAAAATGCCAAGTGTGATGGAACAGTAGACTGCCCAGATGGGAGTGATGAGAAAGGCTGTAGTAAGTACTAAAACGGATCTTCTCAACCAATGATACCTTTGTGTCTTCAGCTTATTTGATTTTAAATTTTAATCTCCATCTAAACTAAGCTGCACTGAGCCAAAATATTAAATGTAAAGCAAGCAAGAACAAGTAGAAAATCAATGATTTTTATTGGGAGAAAATGGAAAAAAAAAAAGAACAAAACTAAGAACAAATGTAAAAAAAAAAAAAATACAAAGGAACTATCTTTTGTAAATAGAAGTGAGAAGTGACCTTTGCCTTGATAAGTCATTAGTCAATAAAACTCTGTTTTATGAGCTTATGCTGGCTAATGCTCCAGATGAAGGGACTGCAAATAAATAGCCTGGAGAATAGAAGTTTCACTTGAAATAGAATGAATGGATTTCCTTTCTCCTTCCCCACCTAGATATGTGCATTAGCCAATGTTGAGTCATCAGCTAAAAAATAGTGATTAAAATGTAATAATAATAATCATTAATAATAATAGTAATAATAATGCACACACATACACACATATACATTGCATACATATAAATGAGTTTAATGTGATTTCTCTATGTGTACATGTGTACGTGTGTACACATGAATATACATGCAACCCGTGTCTACAAACATTGCTCTTGGGATAGCAGGTACACAGTGTAGAGATAAATACACACATACACATATATGTTTGTGTGTATCCCTACTGTGTGTATATATACAAGATGTATATATATGCATATGCATATGCACATATGCGTATGTGTGCATTAATATGTGTGTCCTCATTATGTTATTGTTACCCCAAGAGTGGCGTTTGTAGTCACCAATATTATACACACAACATACACATATACATACACACACGTGTATATGTTGTGTAGCCACACACTCCTCATGCTCACTACGTATGTGACCTTGAACAAGTCACCTAACTTCCCTGGATCTCCATTTCTTCTCATGTAAAATGAGGAGGTTGGACAAGAAGTTTCTGAGGCCTGTTCCAGGTCTAATTCTATGGCTATAATTACATGAACTTCAATGGCTTAAAAGTGCACTAAGACTTTTGGGACACCCTGCATGTGTACATTCATCAAATTTCATGCTATTGAAACTCATCAGAGTAGTATAAAGCCTCTAAATGGATTCAACCATTATTGTGAATCCTCATCAAGGATCATTCTCATCTTTGGAATAAACATTGTTTATAATAGCGATCTTCTTGTGGTATTTTAATAATTACTTTGTGGTTGCATGCCTTCTTCTCCACCCCCCCATTCCCCTCCAGGCTTACAATGACCTCAATTTTGAAACTCTTTCAGCTTTTGTTCTGTTTGGATCTTATCTTGACTTCCTACCCATACATTCTAAAACTCTTCGAGTTTCTCTTGTCACTTGTCCAACTCTAGCCACCAGGCCCTTCCCTCAGGTTGATCCCTCTCAACTTATCTCTGCTGCCTTTCTCCTCTTCCCCAAGACCTCTCTCATATAGATGGAATGTAATTTGTGTACACAAAAAGGAAGAATCTGTGTGGAAGTGAGCCAAGGGGGAAGAAGCCCCAGCGGTCCAAATGATCACTCTCCTCTGGAAGAAGGAGATACTCGTTCACAGCAGTGGTAACATCCCAATTCCAGGACAAAACCTGATTTCATTTCTCTTCTCTGTTGAAGGTTGCAGCAGGACTTCCTCCTCTGTTGTCCACCGCATCATCGGTGGTTCTGATACCCTGGAGGGTGGCTGGCCATGGCAAGTCAGCCTCCATTTTGTTGGGTCTGCTTACTGCGGCGCCTCAGTCATCTCCAGGGAGTGGCTCCTCTCTGCAGCCCACTGTTTCCAAGGAAGCAGGTAAGACAGAAGCTCCTTTCCTAACGTGCTGTGGCAATGCTTGCTGCCTTCATGTCTCCCCAGGTGAAAGAATCTCAGAATTCCAGATTTGGAAGGGCCTCAGAAGTCACCTAGTTCAGTCCATATCAGAAGAAAATTTTCCTCTACGAAATCCCCAACTAGAGCATCATCTAGCCAACTAGTGAGCAGAAAATGCATTACCTTAATTTTATATAGCATTATGTTTAAGGAAAATTTTTCCTTTTATCAAGACTAAATTGGCTTCTTTTCAGTTTCCATGCATAATTCTACCCTTTAGGGCCCAAACCAAACTAGCCTCGAGCCTCTTCCATTTACCAGTCTTTCAAATACTTGAAGGCTGCTGTAATGTCTCCCCTAGCTAGTCTTTTCTTTTCAAGGCCAGATATCACCAGTCCCTTCCTTCCTTCCTTCTTTCCTTCCTTCCTTCCTTCCTTCCTTCCTTCCTTCCTTCCTTCCTTC